ATTTCCTTATTTGCCCTGTTCACTTTGGACTAACACTGTGATGTGTGCAACATTCTGCAAAAGTCTGAATGTGTTTGCATGTAAAGAATTGGGTTTATAAGTATCCAAATTTTGAACATCACACAGCAACTTTGATGCAGCCTTGATGGCCTTGCATGACCTGCTTCAGGAAGTTTTAAAAGCCTTGCTCTGTTGAGAGTGGAGGGGGCGGGGGCCAAGAGGAAATCATCAGTGCCCCAGTTCCTGTCCAGTACCCAAGATCACTATGGGAGGGCGAGCTGGCATCTAGGTGGTGCATAAAACTTGACATTTCCTGCCTCTTGTATTGCTGACTTGACTTTTCTTTTTTTTTCTGTGTGTGTGTGAGATGCAGCTTTTGGAGGGAGTCAGTTTGAGATGGAAGGTTCCTGTACTGAGGTCACAGATTACAGCCAGTAAGGAGTTACTGAGTTGCTGAGCATAAATTTATTACGTAAACCTGTGAAAAAGTGAGGAAAAGCGAGGACGCAAACCAAACTGATAGACATACAGTAAGATCTCAAACACAGACAGGAGGAACCCATAGAGTAAACAAACACTGCGTCATAAGGAGTATTATATAATACTACAGTGTAATGTTTCTTGAAAGTCAATCTTTTCTTAATGAAATCAATCTTTTATGCTTAACTGTGGTTAAATTTACCCAAACCTAACCCTAACTTGATCTTACACATCAACAGCAGTATTTGAATGGCACCATTTTAAAAGAGTTATCCCTTAGTGGAAGAATGTGGCCTGGGATGCTGAGTGGAGCAGCCGCTATCAAAACTCAAGTTAATGCATCACAAGCATAGGGCAGAATATGAGCAGAGTGTATCTCATGTTGTATTTACACAGAAAGTGTTGTACTGCAGTTTTCATGCCATGTTTTCACTGCACACATAATAGTACCCAGGAGCTCCAAGCAACCAGAGCATCACATCTGTTTTTCATTTTCTATTTATTTTGCACTTTAAGCTCTGAGCAGTTGTAAGAGGCAGGTGACCTACGCTTAAGACTGCACCTGAACGCCTCCTGTGTTGGTACAGACTTTTGGTGATCCTGATTGAACTGTATTTTTGATTTGTTACTGATGTTTAGGGGCATGTTTAATATGTATGTTCCTTGAAACCTAAAAATATGATTGTGTCCATTTCCAGATGTATGGGCGTTACACCCAGGAGCTCGGGGTGTACGCCAAAGAGGAGGCCGCTCGGCTGAGGGAGAGCGGGCAGAGGCGATCAGTCAGCGATCGAAGCCGGACATTGGACCTGCTGGAGTACGACAAGGGCCGCTGTGCCAAGTGTCGGAGTAAGTTTCAGACCACACAGCCTCATACCGGTTTCTGGAATAAGGGCCACTGATGAGACTTTCTTATTATTTCTGACCATTTGCTTAGCGTGATTTAATGACACTCAAATGAACAAAATTGGTGTGAAAAAAGTGCAAAGTTGGAGATTTCCCGTTTGGCTTTAACTAAAATCTTTTGCAGTGCTGGCACCAAAAATGTCCTCTTTTGTGTGAACATATGTGACATATAATCTAAAATCCTGCGACTGTGGTGATCAGTGTACGGTGGGCCATTGCTCATTGCTGTACAGTTTACTTTTGACCTTTTCCGTTATATCTTGTCATGTGTGATATAGCTATAGGACTTCTCTGTGACATTTTCTGGTGGTCGATAATGTCTGCCTTGGATGTGAGTGTCCCACAGTACCGACAAGACAAGATCGCTGAACATCGGGTTTTACTGTGGTTTGGCCACGTGCCCACTGACTGACAGCTCCAGTATGGCACAGTTCGATTACTATAAAGTGTGTTTACCCTGGTCATAGGGGCTTTTAGGAGGGAGGTTAGGGACCTTACTAAATTACTGGAATT